AGGGCTGGTATTACAGGCGTGAGCCACCAGGCCAGGCCCAGGCTCATTACTTTTCTAAAATGAAGAGTGTCCCTTCCTGGGGTAGCATTTGAAGTAAATGGAGCCAAATGAAGAGAGACTCCGTATCTGAATTTCTCTTTGAGGATGTTGACTGAGTCAAAAATTTTAACCTGTTTGAAAAAAAACGAATAAATACACATACAAACCATGATTTATTTATAGAGTTCAATTATATGTAATAATTTAGTAGGAGAAATTGTGAGTATCCATTTAGAAAGTTTCCAAGTTTATTTTGTAATACTGTATCTTCATTGTTCTAGTTCAATATGCTGTCAACTTTGTGAGCTCAGTTTTTACCCTTGGCCAGTTATATTAAATTTTATTAAGCACGTCACCCTTTCACCAGAACTATAGATTGTATGCAGTATAGAAGGATTAAAAATCTAACATTTGTGCTATCCTTATTAAGCTTAGTCTAAGTGGCATTGCTAATAGCAATAAATGCTTGTTCTCTCTTCTCTCATTGGTGTTGCCTTTCTCTTGGCTCCTCTCACCTAACCACCTTGTATTGCTATCTTAGCTTCTTATTTAAATAACCTATTGTAATTGAACTTTTAAATACATATATTTCTAATCTCTCCCAGTAGATTGTAATGTTAGGAAGGGATCACGGCTATTTATCTTTAGCTAGTTTAGAGAGTCTAACAAAGTTCATTGAGAGTCATTTAAGAGACACTCAAGAAATATTGTTGAATAACTTCTGACAATCATTTTATATTTTAGCACATCGTAGTCAAGAACTTCTATCAATGTTAATTAACTGTTAGTAGAGAAAGTGTGATAAGAGTTTGATCATAAAAAAAGGCAAAATTCCCACTTTGATTAAACGGGTGTTTTTTTTTCTTTTTTGGAAAAGTTGACACTTTCTTTTATAAAAAGGGTATTTTCCCATTGGAAGCATGATTAGTGAAGTTTTGATCATTCTTTGGTATTTGCAACATTCACACTGGCATCTTCTAAAGCAAAAACGTTGTCACTCCCCTGTCTTTGAAAGAAACTTGACCCTTAGCATGACAGAAAGGGAGCCTGCTAAGGCTTGTGGGAAGACAACTGTTTACTCCAGGAAACAATTGTTTAATTACCTGCTGCTCTGTGTCTTTGGAGAGAAGAATATCCTGAATCTCAAAAATGTAACATGCGGGCAGAAATGTCTTGGAATTCTTTGGGTAGAGGTGAGGGTTATGGTTTACTATTTGAAAAATATTTATTTAAATTCCTGGACAGTGCATTGTCCACTTGCAAATGCATTTATTTGCTGAAAAGGGTATCAATAGCCTTTTAACTCCAAAGTCATTTTTATCCTGGAAGAAATTTAAATTTTATTTCTAAATGAACGCTTATGACACCTATTCCTCTTGGTTCTGGCAATATATGGTTTGCAGTCTCATGTGTTCACTGTATCCCTTTATTTTAAGTCTTATTAGGGAAATTAGGAAATTACCATCACCAGATACTCCCTTATGAGGGTGTGTTAGAGTGAACATGTGCCTATAGGTGTATAAGAAAGGCAATAATTGGCCGGGTGCAGTGGCTCACGCCTGTAATCCCAGCACTTTGGGAGGCCGAGTTGGACGGATCATGGGACCAGCCTGACCAACATGGAGAAACCCCATCTCTACTAAAGTACAAAAATTAGCCGGGTGTGGTGGCATGCGCCTGTAATCCCAGCTACTCAGGAGGCTGAGGCAGAAGAATCGCTTGAACCCAGGAGGCAGAGGTTGCAGTGAGCCAAGATCACGCCACTGCACTCCAGCCTGGGTGACAGAGCTAAACTCCGTCTCTAAAAAAAAAAAAAAAAAAAAGCCATAATTATTTGTATATTAGAAATCTCCACTTGAGCGCAGAAGTTTGAAGCTGCAGTGAGGCAAGATCACGCGACTGCACTCCAGTCTGGGTGACAGAGCAAGACCCTATTTTGGAAAAAAAAAAATATTAAAGGAATAGATTCCTTCTTGGAAATAAACTTCATATGTGAAATTTTGGACATGAAAATTTGGTCAAGTTAGGAAATGTTTTTTTAACTTTCCGTGAAGATTGAAAGCTGAACAAAAGTTCATGTTTGACATGGCAGAACCTATTAGCAAAGTGTGATTACGGCCCATTCTGTTCAACTTTATGGAGACGTGGAACACACTAGTAGGTTTGTGTACTTGTCATCAGGCAGTCTCAGGGCATGGGCGAAATACTTGGTCATTACTCTCCAACTGATGGCTGGAGAGTAATTACTTCAGTGAAAGTACACTATCATGCCTAGTGATACCAGGCCTGGCGACCGTTTTAACTTAGCACAGGGAGTCACGTTCTCAACAAAGTAAGCATTCAATAAGGTAGGAAAAGCCTCAAAAAATAATTTTCTTAAAGGTCCTCTGCTCATGCAAATGTGACTGATGACATTCTGCCAGGTTCATGTATGTAAAATTCTTAGCATGTCTCTTCACTCATTCTCAAAAAAAAAAAAAAAAAAACTGTTGGAATGCAAGTTCCCTTAAAGTATAGGGTTTTCACATGTTGCCCAGGCCAGTCTCGAATTCCTGGGCTCAAGCAATCCTCCTGCTTCAGCTTCCCAAAAATGCTGGGATTACAGATGTGAGCCACCGTGCCCAGCCTTCAAAGTACAATCTTAATGGGACATCTTTATATCTACTCAAATTTGTAAATATGCTAATGATCGACAAATTATTTGACACACTTGACATTGACTGAACCCACCTACTGTATTTCAGAGGCCAAAATCATTGATTTAATGGAACCTTTCATGAAGTGCATTAGTCCACTAGACACTTGTATTTATTGAGTTTTACATTGATTTTTCTCAGTTCAAAAGAGGGCATATGTTATATTTAGGAATGAAAGTTTGATTTTATAAGCCAATTAAAAAACAGAATTCCCAGTAGAAAAATTACCGTGTAACAAGTTTTGCTAGATTCTAACTGATCTTTAAAGAGGGACATTCAGTATTCTGATCAAAATAGCATTTAAAACTTTCAGTTTCTGGCCGGGCGCGGTGGCTCAAGGCTGTAATCCCAGCACTTTGGGAAGCCAAGACGGGCGGATCACGAGGTCAGGAGATCAAGACCATCCTGGCTAATACTGTGAAACCCCGTCTCTACTAAAAAATACAAAAAACTAGCCGGGCAAGGTGGCCGGCGCCTGTAGTCCCAGCTACTCGGGAGGCTGAGGCAGGAGAATGGCATGAACCCAGGAGGCGAAGCTTGCAGTGAGCTGAGATCCGGCCACTGCACTCCAGCCTGGGCGACAGAGCGAGACTCCGTCTCAAAAAAACAAAAAAACAAAAAAAACTTTCAGTTTCTGTTGGGAAAAATTGAGAATTATTTTCCTGAGGTTATGTGATGATAGGGAAAACTATTGAATCACAATCACAAGCAACTGAGAAAGACAAAGACACAACCTTTATGCATATATGCATGTATGTGGGAGTAGATGGAGGTGTGTACATCCAGAGAGGAACTTGACTGTATGTGAGTTTCTTATTGTGCATTTTTATTCTCATTGGCAGGGCAGATTTTATTTTATTTTATTTTTTGATGGCAACACTCCATGTGTCTTTTTAGTGTGATTCCATGAAGAAACTTGCTTATTGATTACGATCCTGTAGCTCAGAAATGTTAAGTTATGGTTTTATTTTTTTATTTTATTTTTTATTTTTTATTTTTATTTTTTTTAACTTGAAACACAAACGCTTTATTTAAAGGAGCATCTCAATTCCGCGTGGCGGGCAAAAAATAAAGGAGCACATTGTGACACACCAATCCCATCGGCCAAGTGGTCGAACCCAACATCCAAGACCCAGCGAGCAGGCAAGCTCAGCCCAACCTCCGGGCTTCTCGCTCTGACTCCAACAGGGTGAGCACGTCGCCCTCGCGCACGGGGCCTTTTACATTGCGGATGATGGAGCGGCTCGTGTCGTCCATGAATTCCACGCGCACCTGCGTGCACTGTCCCTGAGAGCCGGTCCTGCCCAGGACCTTAGTGACCCTGGCGAGCTTGATAGGCTGCACACGACTGGTGTCCATGATGGCGGCGCGGCAGCGGTCTGGCAGAGAGCTAAGTTATGGTTTTAAATATGGGTTAATTACCATTGATGTGTGAATTCAGGTTCTCAAAGAAATGCATATCAGAAGAGAAACTTAACTGAATAGTATTAATTTTACTGTTTTCAAAGCTCTCTCCTAGCTGTGATGAGGAGACAGAATACATGTGTCATCTCTACCTGGTTATCTAGATGAATATATTAGGTTCGTGCAAAGGTAATTGCCATTGAAGGTAATGACCAAAACTGCAATTACTTTTTCACTAACCTAATACATGATACACATAAAAGATACCTTAGCAGCTCATGATAAGGGCTAATGAATGGTACACATATATTGCAAACTTTATAGTTTGTAGGATTGACTGATATCTTCTTGTTCAGTTTCTGTTTTGAACAATGAAAATTGAGGCTTGAATGACGCTTGAAGCTTGTGCAGTTTGTCAAGGAAAGATTCATTTCTATTGCGTATACTATTCTTGTTAAGATGGGAAGCAGACTTGTGTCATTTGGAAAAACTTTCTAGAAAGGCTGAAACTAAGAGAGGCTTGTAGAGTATCAGAAAACATAACTTTTCACTACACACAGTTTGGGGTTAACTGCATTTTTAGGTATTGATATGCATCAGTTAGTTTTGCATGTACATCATTAAATAGAATTTTCAATGGAAAAAAAAAAAGAGAAAGTCCTTGATAAAAGGACCTGTGGACCAAAAGCTCTTCAATACACTTGTGAGGCATTATTAACAATACAGTAATAAAGAGGGAAAATCATATAACTTCTGTGAAACCATAATCTTTGTTCTGTCTGAATTCATTTCTGCCAGCTCACAAACATTTAACTTTTGTCGAATATTGGAAAATACGGTTTCTTGTTCTTTGGGTCCTAGATTAAGAAGAAACAGCAAGATGTACTTGGTTTCCTAGAAGCCAACAAAATAGGATTTGAGGAAAAAGATATTGCAGCCAATGAAGAGAATCGGAAGTGGATGAGAGAAAATGTACCTGAAAATAGTCGACCAGCCACAGGGTATCCCCTGCCACCTCAGATTTTCAATGAAAGCCAGTATCGCGGGGTAAGAAAACAATGTAAATTCTTGTTTATTGAAATAGATTGCCCCAAATCTATCCATTATTTTCACCTCTGCCTCCAAACCTGCATATATATAGTCATGTCGCTTGCTTACAGTCGTTTGTCCTTTGCATCCACTCAAAGGCTGGATGTAGACAATGGCTACATTTTCTAAATATGTTTGCTATTGATTATGCATCACAGTCAAATTTAGGCAAGTTTATTTGTTACTTTTTGAGAATGTTTTGTGGCTTACAAGATGACAGTAGGTATCCCAACCAAATTTAGTCATGTGAAGATTATCTTGCATTCCCCAGGTTGAAACCTCTTACTATTGGGTTGCTCTTCTGGTCATACATCATGGACATCTCATTGCCTTTCTCAAAACACAGCAAAGATTAACTGTTCTTCTGGCCTTGGCATATCTAGCTAATATCTAGTCTACTGTGGGCTCTGAGAAAATCTCAACCTAAATGAATAATGGAATAGAAATATGGTGAATGGAAACAACAGTGTCTGACCAGAAATAAGCATCTTCTTACTGGGAAATAGGTGGCTGTTTTGCATAGTGGAGGAAGCTGCAGGCAGACTTAAATTTGATGTGATGTGGAATAAACCGTTCTGCAGTTTTTGTGCGATAGAATACCTACTTTTCAACCTATATTAAATAAGATCCGGAAGCCTTGCCTCTTTATTACTCCTTACTCCTTCCAGAATTCTAGTATTATGGAAGGTAGTCTGCCTGTCCCTAAGGAAGCAGATGATTCTGTCGACTAGTCAGGTCATTCTGAATAAATCTCTCTCTTTCTGTTTTTTTTTTTTTTTGTGACGGGGGGGACGGAGTTTCGCTCTTGTTGCCCAGGCTGGAGTGCAGTGGCGTGATCTCGGCTCACTGCAACCTCCTCCTCCCAGGTTCAAGCGATTCTCCTGCCTCAGCCTCCTGAGTAGCTGGGATTACAGGCGTGTGCCACCACACCAGGCTAATTTTGGTATTTTTAGTAGAGACAGGATTTCTCCATGTTGGTCAGGCTGGTCTCAAACTCCCGACCTCAGGTGATCCGCCTGCCTCAGCCTCCCAAAGTGCTGGGATTACAGGCGTGAACCACTGCACTCGGTCGAATAAATCTCCTTTTTTTCTTTTATTGGTTGCATATTGCTAATTCATCTTACCTTCTTTTCATCAAGGACTATGATGCCTTCTTTGAAGCCAGAGAAAATAACGCAGTGTATGCCTTCTTAGGCTTGACAGCCCCACCTGGTTCAAAGGTATGATACCCTTTTTTTCCTGCTTTATAGATCATGTTATTGCTGCTGAGCTTTTTTAGTTAGTAAGATTTTCACTTTTGTTAAGTATTCAAATTAAGTCAGAGACAGTCCTTTACAGCAAAAAGTGCCTTCTCTGCATCCACTTAATTCCTATTAGGGCAGAAAGATGTGCATAACCAAATGCATAAACTATGTGTTTAGCAGGTAGGTAGAGTGATTTCCCCGTCAAGCTGACCACGGGAGCAAATTTCTCATTGACCTACTCACAAATAAGTGCTTAGCAATTTTAAAGCCTTCATTATTCCAGCCGTCCTGCGTGGTTCTACGACGACAGTAAGCATCTTAGTTCATGGTAATCTCCTTGGCAGCATTTATTGTCTTTGTGTGAGAGCAAATGATAGAGTCATCCATTCAAGTTAATTAAGAGCATCTGCATTGCAAAACTGGTCACTAACTTGCTCGCCAAATTTGAGGCTTTTTTCCTGCCAACACAAATTAATTTTTTTAAGTAGCAGCATTTTCAGGACAGACCAAATAAAGGAAGCAACAATAAAATTGTCTATCTAATGAGATATCCCCAAACTATCAACTTTAAACATACCTTTGCCTTTTATAGTAGTTCTTCATACAAACTGCCTCAATCATTTTATGTTGCTGTGTCATTTTATGTTTTGCTCTTAGCAACTAATTGTATGTTAGACAGATTCTTTGAACTCCAATTCCCTCTCCTATTTTAAAAATCTGTGTTACTGTCTGTTTTCACTAGACAAAAATTTACTAGTACTATGTTTATATCATTGTGAAATGGTTTTCTTGCCGAACTTTCTTTTCTCATGGATAAAATGTTATATTTTAGGCTTTGTGTAATTTGAGCCATAAGAAAAGTGATTGAAGACACTTTTCTTTAAATAAGATAGTAAGAGAACTAGATTGCAGCATCTGCAATCCAGACAGAGCAGCATCTGGAGGCTTGCATTGTGAATTTCAGCCCCAGATAGACTGCAAGAACAAACCAGTAATCCTGAGAGGACCCACAGACCCTCTCAAGGAAGCGGTCTGCTCCTGTAGGTCTCAGGAGACACCCCAAATACAGTGAGTGCCCCAACTGAGGAAGAGCAAAAGGGAGACCCTCCTCTCCCGAACACATACCCTCACTAGAGAAACTGAAGGTCTGTTCGCGGGAGAAGTTTCCAACTTTACCTGGAGCTGAGTCAAGTTAGAGAGTCCAGCAAAATACAGCGGTAGAGGAAGCAATAGGAATGCCCTGGGATCTCGCTGGGTCCCCAAGCAGCCCATTTCTGCCTGGCACCACAGGGATCCATCGGGAGTGTGGCCAGAGGAGCAGGCGTTAAAACTCCACAGAAAGAAGAAATTCTCTAGCCAAATTTTGTAACAATTTGAACGGGACAAGAAGCCTCCTGGCCAGAACTGGGGGGAGGGTGCAAATCCCACTTGCAGACTTCACAGGCAAGGGAAGAACTAAAGCCCTTTTTTTTCCCACAGCTGAGAGGTGGATAGCCTTGGGGAAATTTTTAAGCCCCTCTTGCCCTCCACCTGGAAACAGACTCAGGGCTGTTGGAGGGGAGCTTGGTGGGTGTGAGACCAGCCCTTCGGTTTGCCTGGTAGCTGGATGAGGCCTGTGACTGCTGACTTTCCAGGACTTCCCTGACAATCTGCATGATTCAGCAGAGGAAGCCATAATCCTCCTAGGTATAGAACTCCAGTGACCTGGGAATCTCATCCCCACCCCTCACAGCAGCCACAGCAAGACCCACCCGAGGAGAGTCTGAGCTCAGACATGCCCAGCCCTGCCCCCACCTGATGGTCCTTCCCTTTCCACCCTGGTAGTGGAAGACAAAGGGCATATAATCTTGGGAGTTCTTGGGCCCTGCCCACTGCTGGTCCCTCTCCACAATACTACAGCTAATGGTTTCTGGAAAGCACTACCTCCTGGCCAACCAGCATAAAAATAGAGCATCAAACCACCAAAACTAAGGACCCTCATGGAGTCCATTGCACCCGCCTCCACCTCCACCAGACCAGGCGCTGGTATGCATGACTGAGAGACCCATAGATGGTTCATATCACAAGACTCTGTGCAGGCAACCCCCAGTACCAGCCCGGAGCTGGGTAGACTCGCTGGGTGTCTAGACCCAGAAGAGAGACAACAATCACTGCAGTGTGGCTCACAGGAAGCCACATTCATAGGAAAAGGGGGAGAGTACTACATCAAGGGAACACCCCATGGGACGAAATAATCTGAACAACAGCCTTCAGCCTTAGACCTTCCCTCTGACAGAGTCTACCCAAGTGAGAAGGAACCAGAAAACCAACTCTGATAATATAACAAAGCAATGCCCTTCAACATCTGCAAAAAAATCACACTAGTTCACCAGCAGTGATCCAAACCAAGAAGAAATCCCTGATTTACCTGAAAAACAATTCAGGGGGTTAGTTATTAAGCTAATCAAGGGGGGAACAGAGAAAGGCAAAGCCCAATGCAGGGAAATCCAAAAAAATGATACAAGAAGTAAAGGGAGAAATATTCAATGAAATAGACAGTTTAAGGAAAAAAACAATCAAAAATTCAGGAAACTTTGGACACACTTCTAGAAACACGAAATTCGTTGGGAAGTCTCAGCAATAGAATTGAACAAGTAGAAGAAATTCAGAGCTCAAAGACAAGGTCTTTGAATTAACCCAATCCAACAAAGACAAAGAAAAAAGAATAAGAAAATATGAACAAAGCCTCCAAGAAGTCTGAGATTATGTTAAACGACCAAACCTAAGAATAATTGGAATTCCTGAGGAAGAAGAGAATCCTAAAATCTTGGAATCATATTTGGGGGAATAATCAAGGAAAACTTCCCTGGCCTAGCTAGAGACATATACATCCAAATACAAGAACCGCAAAGAACACCTGGGAAATCCATTGCAAAAAGATCTTCGCCCTAGGCACATTGTCATCAGGTTATCTAAGGTTAAGACAAAGGAAAGAATCTTAAGAACTGTGAGACAGAAATACTAGGTAACCTATAAAGGAAAACCTATCAGATTAACTGCAGATTTCTCAGCAGAAACTCTACAAGCTAGAAGGGATTAGGGCCCTATCTTCAGCCTCCTTAAACAAAATGATTTTCAGTCAACAATTTTGTATCCAGTGAAACTAAGCATCATATATGAAGGAAAGATTCAACTCTTTTTAGACAAACAAATGCTGAGAGAATTTGCCATTACCAAGCCACCACTATAGGAGCTCTAAATCTTGAAAGGAATCCTGGAAACGCATCAAAACAGACCCGTCTTTAAGGCATAAATCACACAGGACCTATAAAACAAAAATGCAAGTTTGAAAGCAAAAGAAAAAAAAATGAAAAAACCCAGAGTACACAGGCAACAAAGAGCACAATGAATACGATGGTACCTCACATTTCGATGTTAACATTGAATGTGAATGGCCTAAATGCTTCACTTGAAAGATACAGAACTGCAGAATGGATAAGAACTCACCAACAATCTACTGCCTTCGGGAGACTCATCTAACACATAAGGATGCACATAAAGTAAAGGGATGGAAAAAGGCATTTCATGCAAATGGACACCAAATGAGAGCAGGTGCAACTATTCTTATATCAGACAAAACAAACTTAAAGCAACAGTGGTTAAAAGAGACAAAGAGGGACATTATATAATGGTAAAAGACGTTGTCCAACAGGAAAATATCACAATCTTAAACATATATGCACCTAACACTGGAGCTCTCAAATTTATAAAACAATTACTAATAGACTTAAGAAATGAGATAGACAGCAACACAATAATAGTGGGGGAATTCAGTATCCCACTGAGAGCACTAGACAGGTCATCAACACAGAAAGTCAACAAAGAAACAATGGATTTAAACTACACCTTGGAACAAATGGACTTAACAGATATATACAGAACATTTTATGCAACTGCAGAATACACATTCTATTCAATAGCACATGGAACTTTCTCCAACATAGACCATATGATAGGCCATAAAATTAGCCTCAATAAATTTAAGAAAATTGAAATTATATCAAGCACTCTCTGAGACCACAGTGGAATAAAACTGGAAATCAACTCCAAAAGGAACCTTCAAAATCATGCAAATAGATGGAAATTAAATAACCTGCTCCTGAATGAGCATTGGGTCAAAAACGAAATCAAGATGGAAATTTAAAAATTCTTCGAACTGAATGACAATAATGATGCAACCTATCAAAATCTCTGGGATACAGCAAAGGCGGTGCTAAGAGGAAAGTTTATAGCCCTAAATGCCTATGTCAAAAAGTCTGAAAGAGCCCAAACAATCTAAGGTCACACTTCAAAGAACTAGAAAAACATGAACAAACCAAACCCAAACCCAGCAGAAGAAAGAAATAACCAAGATCAGAACAGAACTAAATTAAATTGAAACAAAAATAATACAAAAGATAAATGAAACAAAAAACTGGTTCTTTGAAAAGATAAATAAAATTGATAGACCATTAGCAAGATTAACCAAGAAAAGAATAAAGAAAATTCAAATAACTTCACTAAGAAATGAAACAGGAAATATTACAACTGGCACCACTGAAATACAAAAGATCATTCAAGGCTACTATGAACACCTCTATGCACATAAACTAGAAAACCTAGAAGAGATGGATAAATTCCTGGAGAAATACCACTTTCCTAGCTTAAATCAGAAAGAATCAGATACATTTAAAAGACCAATAACAGGCATCAAGATTGAAATGGTAATTTAAAAATTACTAACAAAAAAGTCCAGGATTAGATGGATTCACAGCAAAATTCTACTAGACTTTCAAAGAATTAATACCGATATTTTGGGCTCTATTCCACAAGATAACGAAAGAAGGAACCCTCCCTAACTCATTCTATGAAGCCAGCATCACCCTAATAACAAAACTAGGAAAGGACACAACCAAAAAAGAAAATTACAGACCAATATCCTTGATGAACACAAATGC